GAAGGCGCATGTCGTTTTTTGCATCTGATCGATTCTCTTGTTGTGCTGCGTGCGTTGTCGAGAGGCAGATCGTCGAGCCGCCGTTTGAGAAGAAGCTTGTGTAGGATTGGAGCGCTTCAGTTGGCTAGTGGGCTTGTTGGTGTGTGGGCCTACGTGGACACACACCAGAACCCGGCCGATCGGCCGTCGCGGAGACCCTTACATCGGAAATGGGGAAGAAAGCCACGAAAGTGATGGAAGGAAGAAGTCAACAGGAGCGCAAGAAAGTCCGAAGCAAGTTAGGTTCACTCAAAGGGCTCACAGTTCAACCTCGCACAAGAGAACGTTATACAGATTGCTTGAATCGATTCTTTGACAGGTTAGCAGGGGAGGGTTTGGTCCTCCCAAAGCGACAAAACCTCCTGGACGGCCTGGTCAGTGACTACCTGGAGCATCTTTGGGCTACAGGCGAGGGGAAATCGATTGCCAATAACACTTTAGCAGCTCTCCAGGACCGTGATCCATCTCTCAAGCGAAAGCTTCCTGCCAGTTGGCGGTTGTTGAAAGCCTGGACGTCGGTGGAAATTCCAAATCGTGCGCCGCCACTTACCCTTCAGGTTCTGGATGCGCTCTGTGGGTGGTCAATTTTTAATGAATGCCCCATTTTTGGGTTGTCGCTGCGTGTCGCGTTTTTCGGTCTGTTGCGCACAGGAGAACTTTTGAGCCTACGGGCAAAGGATGTGTTCATCCCTGGGCCAAAGGGACCGGCCGTGCTCTCTCTAGGCCTGACTAAGGGAGGCGCACGCCAAGGGGCGGCTGAAAGCGTAACCCTCCATGAGCAATCGCTCCTCCCAGCCTTATGGAAATGGAAGCAGACAAATCCACCAACCGCCTTTTTAACTCTCAAACCTCATGCTTGGCGAGCATTATTTGCTCGAGCCATTGATGCACTGCACCTGACTGATCACCATTTCAGACCCTACAGTTTACGACGTGGTGGGGCGACGTTCCATTTTAACCACCACGGATCGTTCGATACCCTCCTTGTCCAGGGGCGGTGGGCAGCTGCCCGTACCGCTCGTATATATTTGAACGACGGTTTAGCACAGTTAGCAGATCTGTCTCTGTCGAATTCATCCCTTGCTCCTTACTTGAACTTGTATCGCAAGAGCCCAACCCTTGAGCCAGCAGAGCCTTTAAGGCCCTGCAGATCAGGGGGACGTGGAGCCAAGAAGAAGGGCAAGCCGAAAGGTTGAGTTTTTCTTTTTTCGATGCCGCGGGTCGATTTCTCGGGGGTGAGAAATCAATGAAACCACATTGCAAGACTGGAGTGAGTCAGATGGTGGTTTCCCTCTCTTAAAGTATCCGAGCCTGGGGGACATCCGGTTTGGCGGATGTGGCCTCAGGGGATACTGGGGGGCTCTCTGTTCCTGTCGGTTTGGCGAGGGAACAGAGAGTCGGGGCCCCGAGAGGAAATTGTAGGTATGAGTTCTTTGATTTTGTAGACAAACTTTCTGCAACGCGTGGGAAAAGGAAACTGTGGTCGTGTTTGGTTTAATGACCACATGACTAAACACGAAACAGTTGGATGTTCCACGTAGCATTGGGCTCAAACGCCCTCCCTCTGCCACCCTTGAGCCCCGGCTTGAAGCTGTGGAGCCAAGAAGAAGGGCAAGCCGAAAGGTTGAGTTTTTCTTTTTTCGATGCCGCGGGTCGATTTCTCGGGGGTGAGAAATCAATGAAACCACATTGCAAGACTGGAGTGAGTCAGATGGTGGTTTCCCTCTCTTAAAGTATCCGAGCCTGAGGGACATCCGGTTTGGCGGATGTGGCCTCAGGGGATACTGGGGGGCTCTCTGTTCCTGTCGGTTTGGCGAGGGAACAGAGAGTCGGGGCCCCGAGAGGAAATTGTAGGTATGAGTTCTTTGATTTTGTAGACAAACTTTCTGCAACGCGTGGGAAAAGGAAACTGTGGTCGTGTTTATATATCCTCTATGAAATCACAGAGGTCCACCCCTACTATAAAACGTTTCATGGCCCCCCTGACTGGGGGGGTGGGCCCTGGATTTTATAGAGAAAACGGTGTGTTTGAGATGCTTGTATAAATCCTGTGTGATTTTGTGATGGCTGTAAGTCACTAAGAAGATGCAGGAAGGCATGTTAAAATAACTTAATGGACTTCATGGACTCCTTGTAACATCTTTGCTGTTCCTGCCCCTCGCAGGCCACACCCAGTCCTGCGCATGGACACCCAGAGCTGCCTTTGGGCAGCTGCGCGGCTGCGCCGAAGGAGTTTTTGGTCGACACAACGACCAAATCCAGAAATCTCTGAGACGAACTTGCTGAGCTTCTGCTCCATGGGTTTTTGGGTCTAATGATGTTACCCACATTTGACCTGGTGCATCCTGCCTGGTCCATGAAGCCCTCGGGGAAGCCCTTTCCTGTTCCTTGTTGATGTTCCGTTGTCCTCTTCAGCCCATCCGAAACCTTCATCAGACATTGCGGTCAACATCTACCATTAAAAAACATCGAGATTTGAGGGTTTGGCAAAGAGTTTCAGGGTTCACTCGAAACCATACCATCCTGGGTTTGCCCGTGTGTGATCTCCGATCAAGTTTACTTGTGATCATGAAAATCTCTCGCTCAAGGTCGAGTTGGGAGGCATCGGCACTGAAAAAGGCAGCTGCCCTGCGCAACAGAACTTGGGATCAAAGAGAGCAGGCGAGCAGCGGTCATGGAACCATTGAGGATTCCTAAACACAGAATTGGGAAGTGCCATTGGTAGACTAGATTTAAGAAAAGAAACCAGGTTGGGAACACACAGTTATCTTCTCTTTTCAGTTTGGAAATATCTCAATCTGTCCACATGGACCATCGCAAATTCTGTCGTGACCGTTGAAGCGCCGACGCCATTTGCCCACCTTGTCAGAACCATTTGCCCACCTACGAGAGAGGATAACATCATGTCTGTTTAGCAAACGCGGGTTTATCGTGCGATGCTTTTCTTTTGGGTGGCTACCAGCATCATGTCCCGCCTCGATCGATAGACTGATTGACTGATGTATCCGACACGGACATGTTTGCAGGCTGAGTTAGAGGCTTCCAGGCCAGGCCTGTCGGGTGGCTGTCGGGAAGTCTCGCTTCACTTCATACACGGGTAGAATGGGTGTTTATTTTTTCGAACCTCGGAAGCCAAGTAGGTGGCTAAATGGAATTAATAGGGGCTCTGAGGCTCTGATGGTCTTTAGAGTTCGGAGTTAGTTCCATCAGGTCCATCTATTCGGCGGCACCTCTCACAACCGTATTCTGAATGAGTCCGATGAAGTCATCATATCAGTCGGTTTAAGTAGTCGCAGACATCACGGGTGCAGCGCAAGAGGCAGTCTGACAAGGCAGCCTGGCTACCTTGGCCGCAGCAGGCAGGAAGTTCACAGCTGAAACCTATGGTTTTGGACGGATGCTTATATTTGGTGATCTCAATTCTGACAGAAGTGGAACATAGCTGCTGGAAGTGCATGTAATCTGCAATGAGGTTTGTTCCGATGTGTTCCACTTCCTTAAAGTGAAGGTCTATTTGGTCTAGAGTCTATAGGCCATTTAAGAGTACCAGTCACGAACTCACCGTGTCTAAGTAACCTAAAGACATGCTGTAGCGACCCAGCACTTTAGGTTGCTCATTGAATTTGGTTTGTTTGAGAGACTATATAATTGACACCCAAAGCCCTCTGGTAGATCGCTTGCTGCGCTTGCTCATGATCTTGGCTGCTCATTGTGTCGAGGGCTACTTATCATCGGCACCACAAAATTGGAAGGCGCGCCGTAGTTGTTTTCAATCAAGGTGTTTTTTGTCCAAATGGTGTAATGATCACCAAATAGATTCAATATTGTACAGTAAATCCCTGAGAGAAAAATGCCTTGGACTCATATTGCTTTGGTGCTGACCAAAGAAAACTCACCAGTTTTCAGCGTTCAACCAACCGTTGAACTCGCCTTGATCCAGGAGTATCCTGGTCAAGAGTATCCAACCAATGGGTCGAGCGCCTGGACTCGCTCACGACTGTTGCGAAACCCAACGAGTTTGGACAACTGGAATCTTCTGAGGTGGTACGAAGCTCAACCCAAGGCCGGGCCCACGGCCCGTTGCGTCGAGGGCGGTGCCCGTTTGGACGCAAGGAAGGGTGGATGTGTTTTTGGACGTAGCGAAGTATGGTGTTCTTGATTAGGAACAAGGTTCGCTACTAGGAGCAACTACTAGGAGCAAAGGACGCTACTAGGGGCTCCTGGCCTTACTACTAGTTTTTGTTCGCAGGGATCTTCCACCTGCGACCCACTTTCGCTCCCAAGCGGCCCAGTGCCACCACTGGGCCTGTGGGAACTGAAGACATGCAGAGCAAGGAGCCTGGGATTTACAGTCGTTCATATCTCAGAATCTCGTAATGGTCCCAAGGCTTTCACAAATTCCAGCAATAAAGCATCTCGAGTCCGACAGCAGCTGCAATATGGGAATTGTGCTTGCTGCAAGAGTCAAACTTTGTGTGTATGGAAACCCTCAAGATGTTTTGTTTGGCTCACAGCTTCAAGCTTCGTCAGGAGAGGGACGGTTGCTGTACCATACTCTCCCTGATGGCACAACAGCATGCTCATCAACCTATCATAATCTATCAGCTACAAGTTCCAGCGAGTCCAAGTAGAAATGGTCGAGTTTTGGAGGTCCAAAAGTGGTGAAGCTCAAAGATTCTGAACGACTGTTCTTGCGCAAGTTTTCCAGTTGCTCCCACTACACACTCTACTAACTGTTCTTGCGCATCAACATTATGTGCACATGCACCCCACCTTTTTTAACCTTTTTTAAGAGAACAGTAAGCATTTGTTTGGCTTTGCTTGGCTGTCTATGCAACACAAGGGGTCCGTGGCATTGTCAGCTGTTGCATGACACATGCATTGTCCACCCGTCGAACAATCCTCACAGCTTGGGAAAGAGCTTCGCTGTTCCCGGATGGTGGGCAGCTGCGCTGTAGCGGATGCCAAGGGTCCGATGGTGGCGAATCTGGTGGCTTTGGCTTCCCAGAGGTGGCAGTGTAGAGACACCGTGACGTGGATGCCACCGATGGGGAGGTCAGTGGAATAAGTGGGATGCATGGAATGGAATAGTCTCAAAAGAGATGAAGAACTGAATGAAATAGATTTTGGATCATCCGTTCTAGGTCTAGGTACACTGCTAGATTGGACCTCCAGCCAGGACACCCATTGGATGATCCTGGATCATAATCCAATGTTAGCAAGATGGTCGAAGAGGGAACAAGAAGCTACTAGGAGCAAAGGGCATCGCTGCTAGGAGCAAGGACGCTACTAGGGGCTCCTGGCCTTACTACTAGGAACAAGAAGCTACAATGGTCGAAGAGTGATTTCCGATTCTTCCCGTCCAGTTTCTGCACCAGCTGTCCATGTGTTGTTAACCCTCTGCAAGTCTTATAGAGGCTTGGAGGTCCAATCACCCCAGACATGGCCCAAATCATATTATGCGGCAGCTGCAGACTGTCGGATGATCAATGATAATTCAATGATCATAACATCCCCGGACCGCTGCATGAGCACTCTTGCTCCGTTTTGGTGAGTTTTTGTTGGTCGCTGAGGCCACTTCCAGAGCACGTGAACTTGACGGATTGGCGGGAAGTGGTGTGGGACGCGAGTTTTTGTTGGGATCAGGACTGGACCTTCTTCCAGTGCTGCCGCAACGGCCGCGATCTGGATGTACTGCCCGGGATTCTGCAAGGGCTCGCGAAAGTGCGTGGGCATCCTGATTGCTGGCAGCCTCCAGAGGAGGGGTGAAAATGGACAGAAGAACATGTCAGGAAACTAATAGAGATCAATCTGGCAATGGACCTTTGGCCACAACTGTCCTTTATGAAGAAATCAGTATTTTGGGGGTGTTCAGAGGAGTTTGCTGGAAATACTGTTCAGATTTGCGAGATGTCGCTGACCCTGGCCACAGGAGGGCCCTGTGTATCACGACAACTGCTGCGTTTTGAATGCAAACCTGGACAAAGTCCCGCGCTTTGACCACATGATCTGGCAGATTCGCATGCCGGAAACGGAGCAAATCTTGAATGTGGTGCAAGGGCAAGTCTTAGAAACATGGGAGACTCACCGTGCGAGGCAAAACTTTGTGAGTTATCAGCATATGTTTCGACAAGGTGTCAGCGGAGTTGGTTCTATAGCCAGGAAACTGATTTTGTTTTGCTGCATTTGGCAAAACTTTTTGTGGCCGTGGAAACATCAAGTCACAGGGACCGCTATCTGAGCTTTCCTTGCCATGTTGCCATTGGCTTTCTAGTTTGGTTGAATGTGCTGATGTAGGAGGAAGAAATCCTGCACCGCCTCTAAAAATTACATGGAAGAACCCTACAGTAATGGTAGTCAAACATTTGTTGTCAAGGAAAAAATTTTTTCCTGTTATGGTTTCGAACCGATATATCTTCGCTCAGGAGAGCAGGGGGATCATCCCCCCGGAGGTGGTGCCGAAGGTGGGCTTGCAGGGCAACGGTGAAGGCTTGGTATGGGAAGCGGGTGAATCGGCCTTGGCGCTGGCCGTCACGGAGTTTGGATGGCGAAGCGCCAGACGGATACGGTTTTTGGAGGTGCAGCCCCGCACCTGGGGGCAAGATGGAAGTGGTGGGATGGGAGTTTGCTGTTTGTATTTCTTAAGTACAACTCTAATTGCAGTGGTGGTTGCGTGATTCTGTTGGTTTAGTTGGTGAATCGTTGCTTCTTGTTTTGTTGTTACATGTTTTTCTCCAACAGTCTCTCTGTACACCACTCTCCCTAGTTTGGGACTTTGTGAGAAGCTTCTTGCTCCAGTGCCAGTCGTTTCCACCTTGGCAGCGGGGTGCAGAGCCAGCCTTGCAGCCTTTCATGTTTTGGGGTCCCAAGCGGACGGATCAACGAGCTTGGGGGTCTCTCCCGTTGCAAAGCATGGAAAAAAAACACAAAGAAACTGTTTGGAGTGGATTTCAGCACTGCTGATAGCTTCGCTCCCATTTCCTTTCCTCAGGTGGCTAGTTCAGTGGGTGCGCCTTCCCTGGTGGCCTTGGCCAAAGGCTTCCACGTGTGGAGCAGCGACCTCCGCGATGAGAGTGCGTGGCAGCGCTGGGCTGGTGCACGAGCCTCATCCTTCACGGAGGCACAGCTCAAGCGCTTCCGCACGCCGCGCTTGGACCTGTTGGATGAGAGGCGCGTGGGGAAGCGTGGACGTTCAGAACCTTGTGGGGGGTGATCCCGGAGACGTTCGTTGAAAGTTATATCCAGTTTTCCAGGTGGGAAGCCGCTTTTGGGGCTTCAAGACATGATTTCTTTAGATTCCGATTCTGATTTTTCTAGATTCGCATCAGGTGTTTGGGACATATCTTAATTTTGTATGATAGGACATACACGACATACAAGAATATTAACACCTTACGTCCATTCCCTTTCTCCGACCTTTCGACCCCATCCCAGGAGGATGGAGTCATGTTTGGTTCATACGCCGCTTGACGCCACACCGTCTGCCATGATGCATGATAGAAAGGTACTCTCCTTTGGACTCTGGATAGACCTTTTTCCTCTCTAAACAGAGGATTGCCCACTTCCATGTTTGTTGGCGGAAGGAGACAATTCTTCACATTTGGGTTGTTCTTTAGAACAGACCCCAAACACAGTATAGCAGACCGTCAGTTGCCCAGGTTTGGGAATTTTTCCTGGGATGATTCTATTTGCATCTATTTGCAGTTTTGTGGACTGATCTTGCTCCAGGATCTCGCCTCAGCTAGCAAGGCTTGCAGGGGATCTAGTCATTCAAAAACCTCTCTTTGGATGTGTTGAAATCCAATCCTGGCCTCTCCAGTCCAGGACTTGGCCCCACGGGCTCTTTTTCGACGTGATTTTCTTGGGCAGCCCTTTCTTCATGGTTGGACCCACAAGTGAACAACAAGCAGCCTTCTGTCGAAGCTTCCAACGGCTGCTGGCGCTTCACTTGGCACCACAAGGGCTTGGAATGATGTTTCTCAACCCGGTGAGACTCGAACCTACAGGCCAGATGTTGGATGTCGGGACGCGGGACTGAAGTGATACATCCAGGATGATTTCTGGGTGATGGTTTTCGATATGCTTATCTTCAGTTATGTTCAATCTGTACCTGGGATGATTGAACCCTCAGGCTAATGATTTTTTCTAGTGACTTGAAATGACAAACCATAATTTGTTTGTCAAAGTTTTGCTTGCTGGATGTGCGGGTTGTCATATTTATATATATTATATATATATAATCTATATATTATATATATAAAGAGAGAGATGAGAGAGAGAGAGAGCGGGTCTCACAGAATGCTTGACTCCTAACGTCGCCTCCATATGTGCAATGGTCCATCCATGTATAGTGGACTAAAAGTTGTACAACCAAAATCATACAACCTGCCCATCCCTGACAGGGAGTTTGGACCGTGGCAGCCATAGACTAGACATGTTTCAATGTGATTCACATGCTTTGCCATGTGGTATAAGACATATGTCACGCTGGTTCTACGCCATCCCCCTATCATCCCCGCATTCACTATTCACCCTTGAGGGTTAAATGATGACATGTTTTTTTGAATTTCTGGATGTTGGCTTCACCCAGGAGGTAACATCCGCCAGACCTATGCTGATGACTGCTTGAAGCGCAGTTCCTTCGCAGTGATGGTGCACCAGCCGGTGGCGGAAGGCCGCTGGCATTCCCAATGGCTGCAGGAGGAAGCCGTTTTAAGCAACATTCCCGGGTCCTGGACTTTGGGGTTTTGCTTCCAGGTGGCCTAGGTGACCTTCCGAGGTACATGACCTGTGCAGCTTTTGCTCGAACGACAATATAACCACTTGTATAGTAGGACAACACCATCCGACCACCGTAACATTGTGCTACACACACTTGTCACAAGTCTATTGGTGCGTACAGCTTTTTGATCTTGGAACGACAGTGTTGTAACGACATAAAGGCCAACAGCGTGCCAGTACTTCCGCGTGGGCAGGACACCTTGGAGGACTTTGATGCCCCCCTGCACTTGCCCTTGGTCTTTACTCTCCGGCGAAGAAATGCCAGCATCTTCTGAAGCGGTTCTTTGCATGCTCTCACATGGGGCAAAAATGTCCTGGAAGCGCTGAAACGCTCAGCACCAGCAGTTGCCCCAAAGTGAGGGCTTTGCTTTTACCATGTTGTGTCAGTTGGAGGCAGAATTGTTTGCAAACTCCCAATGGATCACAGCAAAGTTTCTGTGGTGCTCCGTCCAAAGCGCAGAATCAATGCCCCGTAAAATGTGATGCAAACGAATTGGGTCAGGGATGTGAGATTGGGCTTCGAAAAGCCTGCAGAGATCTCCAGTGTCAAAAGATCCGCACACAAGCTGTGTATTGCAAGTTGACGGCATGTTCCAAATCACTCTGGTTCAAAGCAAGTGACACTCTAAACAATCCTCTCAAGAGGTTGTTTGCTAGCTTTTGAATAAATTCGGATTGACACAAGCCATGCAGATCTTTGTAAAGACCTTGACCGGCAAGACCATCACCCTGGATGTGGAGGCCAGCGA